GGCGAGTCTAGGGCTTAAGGGGTCGCAAGGACTTAAAATTCTATGTGGCCGCCGACACATACACGCTCTCCCCTCGAAACCACAAAACCTACCTTCAAGCCTGGATCACACGTCAGAAGCTTAAACGTAGGTGGATTGGTGGCGGTATCACGGCACCTCGCAGTAGTTCTTGGGCAGGGTTAGCTTTGTTATTATATAGATATAAAGCTATAGATATAAATATAGATACATAGATATAGAGATATTTATATATACATGCATGGAAAAAAAGAAAGATAGGTAGATAGATTAGGGGTTATGGTAAGAGCGTACTAAACACCAGGTCTTGGTGGCTCAAGGTAGAAGAATTAGAAGTAGGTACGAAAGCTCCCTAAACCCCAAAGCGCCTAAACCCCTAAACCCTAAACCCTAAACCCTAAACCCTAAACCCTAAACCCTAAACCCCTGAACGCCTAAACCCCTAAACCCCCTAAACCCCCTAAACCCCCTAAACCCCCTAAACCCCCAAAACCAAACCCTGGCGGGCTGATCCTCCCAGGCCCACAAGCACAATTTGGGATCGGGATATCCCATACAAACACCCCTATCATGAGGCTGAATAAGGTAGGGACATCCCTTAAAAAGGCTTTATGCTTCTGTGAACCCTAAACCCCAAACCCTAAATCCTAAACCCTAAGCCCGAAACCCTGAACCCGAAATCCTGAACCCTAAATCCTAAACCCTAAATCTCAAAAATCCTAAACCCTAAACCCTAAACCCTAAACCGTGCTTTTTGGGGTTCCCTCATTCCACGGTCCCAGCGGCCCAAGAGCCAGATTCCACCAACGGCGGCAGCGACCTACAAGCAAGAGCAGTCGTGGGCTTAGGGTTTAGGGTTTAGGGTTTAGGGTTTGGGGTTTAGGGCTTAGGGCTCGTCGGTTAGGGTTTAGGCTGTAAGGATGTAGGGTTTAGGGTTTATAGGGTTTGGGGTTTACGGTTTGGGGATGTAGGGTTCAGGGTATAGGGTTTAGGGTGTAGGGGTTAAGGTTTAGGAGTGATTTAGAGCTTTTTAGGGCTCTACAAGGCTTAAGTTTACTTCAGGGCTGTGGCTATGTTGCTTGACCTAGTCGGCCTGTTCCGCTCGATCGAAGACTTTCAACCGCAACCACATACTAAACCCAGCACCATAGACGAGAATCGCAAACAGCGACCACCAGCACACTAGGAAGTTCGCCTGAAGAGAGACCTGCTGAAGGACGCTGCATGGAAACACGGGTTTAGGATTTCGAAGTACTGATAGAACACCCTAAACCCTAAACCCTAAACCGTAAACCCTAAACCCTATAGCGTTCTAGCTTCAATACCTGTACTTTTGTACGTACCCGGAAAAGTCCCCAGCTGAGGTAGGTACTAGGTTGTACTTGCAATATACGTACAGTTGTAGCTCGGTACGTATGTTCGCACCCCAAACGGATCTATATCGTACTTAAAAGCCCAAGGGACTAAGTAAGCAAGGTAACAAGCAAGGAACAGGATAAGCCCCCCCGCCCCACTGAGGGGACTTATAACCCGACTTACGAAGTCCCGTGAGCCGGTTACCGGAAACCGCACCTGTCGCCTGCCTTAAATGGAAGTGCCCTTTTATCAGTCCGCGGCCCTCACCTGCAGCTCCAATTGCTGTTTGGGGGCCTGGTTCCTCACCAGTTTGTGAGGTTTTGGGCTACACGGGCAAGGTGTAGGAGCCACTTTTGCCCAAAACCCTAAACCCCGAACCTCGACAGTCGCCCCCATCCGCTAAGGCTCTGAAGCTGCGTCCCTGAATCAATCCCTCAAACCCAAAGCCCTAAACTTAAAGCCGCAGCATTGGAGAAAAAAACTACAAACCTGACAAACAGCTATGTCCGTGCGCTTCTGCCTGTTTGTAGCAATGTAGATGTACATCGTACATATGTGTATATACATATAGTGAGACAGAGAGAGAGAGAGAGATGTGTGTGTGTGTATCTATGTATGAAGAATAAACACATACACATGCATACACTTTTCTTGCACATACCCATATAAATATGCATATTCACATACAGTTACATGTACAGACAAGTATGCATATGCTATACGCATACACATACATGTACGTAAACGTCCTACATATGCTTATCTAGATCTGCATAATCACAATGTACATGTTACATGTATTTGTCCATCTACCTGTATTTGTACATAACATTTGCATATACATGTGCAAACACATGTAGACGCACACGTGCGTATACGCACACATATACATACGCATATACGTATACCAGTCAGCTGCTTGTTCATGTGTGGTTCCATCTAGTAATGTACTGTGTAACCAGAAACCCTCAAACACCTTTTTCTGGCCTCGTTCCCGAGCCTCGACCCTAACCCGAAACCCTAAACCTTCAACCCTGAACCCGAAACCTTAAAGCCCAAACCTTACACCTGAAGTTTAGATTTAGGGCGTAGGGGTTTAGGGTCTAGGGTCAGGTTTCAAGGCTGAAACCCTAAACCTCAAATCGCAAACCTGAACTCTAAATATGAACCCTAAATATGAACCCAAAGGCTCAAGGCCTTCTTCATGCTCTCCGGGTCGAGCTTCCCGGCGGGTCGGCCATGGACCTTTCGCTCATCCTCGCGCGAGACGTCTTACTTGGAGGGTTTGGGGTTTAGGGTCTAGGGGTTTAGGGGTAGTTATAAGTGGGGCTATGAGCCCCCAAATATAATTTATAAATATAGTTAACTTCCTTATAACCCTACGTATAGCTGCCCATGAACCTCCACCAAGCAGGGTTGCAACGTCGCTGAGGTTGAGCGTTTAGGTTCAGGTTTCGGGTTAGGGTTTACGATTTTCGGCTTACAATGCAGGAATTCAGGATCCAGGAAATTCGGTTTGAGAACTCGTGACATTGCGGTTAGCAGTTCAAGATCTAGATCAGGTTTAAGATCTCCGTTGAGACAACTGAGGAATTTCGGCTCAGCAAGGTTAATGTTTAAGAAGTCGAGCTAAGGGGCTGAGGTTTCTGGAGTTGTGGCAATAGGGTTTGAAATCTAGGGAGTTGGGGCTTAGGATGGTTTAGGACAGATTTGGAGCTTAGCGCAGAGGCTGTGGATAACTTGGTCTAGTATGTCTAGGTTTTTGGATTTAGGGTTCAGGGTTTAGGGTTGAGTTCAGGGTTTAGGGTCCAGGGCTAGATTTAGGGCTTGGGGTCTGAACAATAGCCTAACGTGGAGTTCTACTTGGGGACCTGACGCTGAGACGACAAAGTGGAGTCCCTGACAAACCTAATTCCGACAACCATCAACCCGAGAAGAACTTGGATTAGAGGGTATTGTGGATGATGTATCATCCATATGCAAATAGGAAGAGAGCAATCCAGTACTGCTCGTTTAGGGTTTAGGGTTTAGGGTTTGGGGTTTAGGGCTTGAGCAGTTGTAGCTGGGGTGGGTTACAAGTACCCAATTTCGGTTCTACCTATGGTTATCCTACTTATAACACTACTTGTAACTACCGATGAACCTCCAAGTAGGCTCAAGGGCCGTATCGCGTATGCGCCGTCGCGTGCATGGTGACAAGGATCTTCAAAGGTGATCAAGAGTGTACGTGACCATTGGTATCGGATAGGATTTGTGCATTGCGTTTGCTATGCGCGTACACCCTACACGTCGCGATTTAGGGATATCCCATGCCTCCACGCAAATGCTAATGTCTCGTTCTGTTTGAACTTCGCAATCGACAAGTGGGCGCCGAACGACTTGTTCAGGCTGCCCATGGAGGTTCGTCGTCGATTGAGCTTCTTCTCCTTCGGTGCCGGGGGGCCGTCCATCTTGAAGACAAGTAACTCTTGCCCCTCGCCCCAGATGCGAAAAGATGGTTGCCCTGCATCCTGAAAATCTCTCGTGAGGGCCGCCATTGTCACGCAACTCTCTATGCTTGGAGTAGATCTTGAGTGTTGGGGCACATCCTTCTCCAGCAACACCAAAGAATCCATTATGTTGTCTCCATCGAATTGGAACCAATCTCCTAATGCGTCGCTGATCACGTCTTCGGCGTCCTCAAACTCTGACCCACTCGAGTAAACTACCACATAAATGATAACGGCATGATCTCGTGATGCCAGGCCAGAGGAATGGAACACCCTAAACCCCAAACTGTCAACACTTATCATCCGGAGCAGCACCCTAAACCCTAAACTATCCTGAAACCTAAACCGTTCCTGAAGAGCACACATCCTGCACCCAAAATCGGAAGCCACCCCAAATCCGACGATCAAAGGCCCAAACGTCAAACCACGAAGTTAAGCAGGGCTAAGACTTCGAGGCTTGGGGAGCTTTACCCCCCAAACACCAGCCTATCTTCGGGGCCTTAATGAGTAAAATAAGGTTTGGCGGGTCCATTAAGAACCATCGCAGGGCATCCTACTAGCATTGGAGAATATTGCTAGTTACTGCGGCCCCTATAGTATCTGCTATCGGCGGCACGCCCGGATCAGTTCAGGGTTGAGGGTTTAGAGGTGTCAGACGATAACAAGGCTTAGGGCTTAGGGTTGAGGGTTCAGGGTTTAGGGATTAGGGTTTAGGGTTTAGGGTTTAGGGTTTTGGAAGCCCATCTCCTAAACCCTAAACCTCAAATCAAACACAAGCAGCGTCTGCCGTCTTCCAACGTGTACTAGCCTTTGGGACCCTGCAAACCTCCGGGTAAGCTTCACGTTTTGACACGTTCGAACTCCGTTTTAGGTTGAGTGCTACGACTGTGATATGCAGAGCTTAGAGCAATCAGCTGCCTGTTGGGGTTTGGGTGCTTCAGGTTTGGGGTAAGCAACCAAGGGTTTAGGGTTTAGGGGTTTAGAGTTTAGGGTTTAGGGTTTAGGGGTTTAGAGTTTAGGGTTTAGGGTTTAGGGGTTTAGGGTGTAGGGTTTAGGGTTTAGGGGTTTAAGGGTTAGGGTTTAGACTTAAGGCCCTAAATGCTAGAGCGCAAACTCATGAGCAAAGCGCGGTGGCGCCTGGCCACCGCCGCCGCCGCCACCGTAGGCCTGAGAACGAGGGCTCCGTCCCTGTAGGGTTTAAGGTTCTAGGGTTTAGGGTTTAGGGTTTAGGGTTTAGGGTTTAGGGTTTAGGGTTTTAGCGTTTAGCGTTTAGGGTTTAGGGTCTAGGGTTTAGGGTTTCGGGTTTAGGGTTTAGGGTTCAGGGTTTACCTTAATCATGAGATGACAAACGCTATCACTAGCAGTGAACCTGCACAGCACTGTTTGCACAAACCCTGAGTGAGATCGGCCTTCACCCAATCCTAAGCCCTAAACCGCTAATATAGTTATCATCCAAAGTGGTGCTGAGTGGTGGAAGTATCCAGTACTGAGAGAATAAACTAATCACATTTTCCCTAAACCCTAAACCCTAAACCCTAAACCCTAATTCCGCGTTGCTAATGCCAGCAAAGCTTGGCCAAGTTCGCGCAGCAGCTGTAGATGACAAACGCTCATCCCCGCACACCTATTCTCAGTTTTAGAGCGCTGGACAACTTAGGGTTTAGGGTTTAGGGTTTAGGGTTTAGGGAAATCCGAAATCTTCCCTAAAATCCTAGCACCACCACCAACCAGCACTGCCAGCATGATTGCCTCTTAGCCAAATCAACTTTGTTCTCGAAACCCAAACCCCAGAACCCCTAAACCCGAACCCCAAACCCTAAACCACCAACCCTAAACCCTAAACCCTGAACCCCAAAACCCTAAACCCTAAACTCTCAAGGCCCCAAACCCTAAACCCGAACCCCAAAATCCCTAGACCCGAACCCCAAACCCCCAAAACCCGAACCCCCAAACCCCTAAACCCGAACCCCAAAACCCTGAACCCTAAACCGCAAACTTTCTGCACTCACCCCGTTCAGCGAACCCGGGAAGCAACGTCCAATTCCCCTAAACCCTTAGGTTTTAAGGTTTTGATTCATTTGTTAAAGGCTTTTTTTGAAAGGTTGTATGGTTTAGAGTTTGGAGATTCGGCTATGTAGAAAAATAGCCTTTATTGGGCGTTGGGCCATAATTCTACCCACTTTGGGGAGTTTAGGGAAGCCCCAAACCCTAAACCCTAGACCCTAGACCCTAAACCCTAAACCCTAAACCCTAGACCCTAAACCCTAAAGTCTAAACCCTAAAACCCAAAACCCAAAACCCTAAACCCTAAACCCTAAACCCTACTCTATGTAAGGCCTGCACTTTCAGATCTTCGGTTGCTGGGGCATGGCTTCTAATCAAACCCTGTCACCTCCAGATTGGCTCCTTAAATTATAAGGGTTCTAGAAGGGTAGTTCTCTAAATTAGGGTCCCTTTTAGGGTCTGAACCATACACTGGGCCGGATTCAGAAGCCCTATAAAAAAAATCAAGCTCTTATGGTGTTATATATGGTTATGTAGGGATTTTTGTCCTGAAAACTTAGGGAAACCAAGAACACCCCAGTAGACCCTAGACAAAAAACCCTAAACCCTCGAGATTCCGGAGTATCGAGAGGCCGTGAGCCCTAGGGTTTAGGGTGGAGAGTTTCGGGTTGAGGGTGTAGAGTCCAGGGTTGAGGATGTACCCGCAGCCCTAAACCCTAAACAACTGAACCCTAAACCCTCAACCCTTCAGGCAAAAACTTACGTGCCCTCCTGGCGTCGTTGCACGAGCTGAGCGACCTGGCCCCGGATCTTTGGCAGCGGAGGCCTAGGGTTTCAGGTTTTTTTGGGTTATGAAACCTCATGGTGCTGTTCAGGGTTTAGGGTTTAGGTTTAGGGTTTAGGGTTCAGGATTTAGGGTTTAGGGAGATCTAGCAGTAATAATAAGTACCGGCGACTAGTCTTGTTGTTTCTGCTCTGAACCAACTCATTGTGCCCAGGATTACTTAGCCCGCCCTCCTCAGGACAACCAAACCCCAAACGCTGTCTACGTCACGGTAGTGTCGCTATGACCCGTTTTTGTCGTAACACCCGTAATAGAACTGAAAAGTACAACTAAGATAGTTACCCTTGTTAGCAGTGGGATGCCGGGCCACACAGGTTTCACGAGTTTGGTCCTAAACCCGAAACCCCTAAACCCTAAACCCCAAAACCCTAACCCTAAACCCTAATTTCGTTATGATCCGCTAAAAAACCCTGAGCCCAACGGCTCCAGATAGACTGCCGCTATGGAATTAGGTCCCAAAAGACCATCCTTATTATGGTTTTAAGGGTCCAACTCCATAAATAGTAGAATATATGGAGCCTCTAGGTGACAGCACATCATTTAAGTTTAACTCAGAACCGTCAAGAACTGGAGCATCCATCTACCCTGATCCGCTGAAAGCAAAAACAGCACTACGGTTGATGATATAAATCTTGCATTACCCACAATAAGGAATCTAACAAAAAATCCCATAGTGTCGGGTCCTAAAGGTAATGCAGGATTTATATTCATCAGCAGTACAACCCGAGTTTCCCCATGAGCAACAAGAAGGGCCTGTGGATTGAGGGTCCTAGGGTTCAGGGCCTCTAAGCTGCAGCTGCAAGCCGGGTTAATAGGGTTTAGGGTTTAGGGTTTAGGGTTTAGGGTTTAGGGTTTAGGCTTTAGGGCTTAGGGTTCAGGTTTGGGTTTTAGGGGTGAGGACTTAGGGTTTAACCCGGCATCATGAACTGTGAAGCGCCCTGTTCATGACGAACACCTTCTACACCTGAACACCTGAACTGCACCCTAAACCCTAAACCCTAAACCCACCCAGACCTTCAAGTATGCTTTGCTGATGGAAGTTCTTCCCCAATGAGGGTATCTGGGCAGTGACCCAGGATTCCTATACCTCAAACCCTTACGCCGTCATTCATAACTTCTACACAGGCCCGTGCCCGCATCCTTGATTACTAGCTCCCAAACCCTAAACCTTAAACTTAAACCTTAAGCCCTAAAGCCTAAAGCCTAAAACCCTAAACCCCAAACCTTAAACCCTAAACCCCTACACCCTAAACCCTAAGACCTAAAGCCTAAAACAACCCTAAACCCTAAGCCCTAACACAACTCACAGGACCCTCGCCGATCTCGTGGACCCGGCCAGCGCGAAAGCCGCCTTCCGTGCTAGCCTCAGCCTGCTACAACTGAAGAGTTTTTTTAAGGTTTTGGGTTTCAGTGTTTGGGGTTTAGGCTTTAGGGTTTCGGGGTATAAGGTTCTGCATGTATATACAGATGTCTTTAGGGCTTAGGGCTCAGGGTTTAGGCTTTGGGGTTGAGGGGTTTGAGGTTCTGCATCATGTCTTTAGGGTTCAGGGCTGAGGGTTTAGGGTAAAGGCATGTTTTTTGAAGGGAGACGTTGCACCCCTTGCAGAAGCCCTTACGGCAGGCCTCATAGAAATCCTTGCGCCTGGCGTTTCGGGGCCCAGGTTCTGATGTTGGGATTTGGGGTTCAGGGAGGGTTTAGGGTTTAGGGTTTGGGGTTTAGGGTTTGGGGTTTAGGGTTGGGTTTTAGGGTCTGGGGCTTTGGGGCTCAGGGGGTTTAGCGTTTAGGGTTTCTCAGCAGTGCTTGCTATCGCTGAGCCCAACAGCATTAAGCCAAGCAGCCCAAAATTCCAAGCCCAAAACCGAAACGTCAAGGCCCAAATTCCCAAAACCGCTGAACCCCAAAAGCCAAAACACTGCTGGCAATCCCCATAAACCCTGAACCCTAGACCCTGGACCCTAGACCCTAGACCCTAAACCCAAACCCAATTATAGAGCCCCGTAAGGGGTTTACGCTTTAGGGTGTTACGCTTCTTTCAGAGGTCAAGCGCTGCTGACTTTTCATCCGGACAAGCTGCCGGAGATGCCTCTCCTCGCCCGAGGGGCGCCTCGGTAGTACTTTTGGGGTTTAGGGTCTAGGGCTCAGGGTCTAGGGCTTTGGGTTTAGGGTGTAGGGCTTAGGATTTAGGGTTTGGGGCTTTAGGGGTTTCGGGTTTAGGGGATGTTTGCATGAGGGTTTTTTGAGGGTGGCATAAAGTTTCTGCATTTTTGGAAGGGCTCTGGAACTGTTTTATTTGTTCTAGTGGGGTTCCGCGCTTCCCTAAACCCTAAACCCTAAACCCTAAACCCTAAACCCTAAACCCCTAAACCCTAAACCCTAAACCCTAAACCCTAAACCCTAAACCCTAAACCCTAAACCCTGAAGCGTTAGGGCCTTTAGGGTTTTGGATCTTGGAGTTTTAGGTGTTTAGGGTTGGGGGTTTAGGCTTTAGGGTTTAGGGTTTAGGGGTTGAGGGTTTAGGGTTTAGGGGTTTAGGGTTTAGGGTTTAGGGTTTTGTGAGGTCTTGGGGTTGTAGGGCACTGGGTGGCACCTGGCTGGAGGCTTTGGGTTTAGGGTTTGGGGGTTAAGCGTTTAATATGGGGGCCTTAATAGTTGCCTACACTATTTTGGGGTTCCCTTTTCTAACTATAGTATACTGGGCTCCAAAACCCTGTTCTAATTATTTAAGCCCTTATATTAGGCTTTAGCTTTCACGGTTGAGCTTCAGCGTGTTTGAGCTCAAGGGTTGCTGGGATGTCCCCAACGACTCTTACCCTGCAGGTTCTCAGCATATGTAAGGGTTTAGGCCATTTAGGGGTTTAGGGTTTAGGGTTTAGGGGTTTAGGGGTTTAGGGGTTTAGGGGTTTAGGGTTTAGGGGTTTAAGGGTTTAGGGTTAGGGGTTTAGGGGTGTAGGGGTTTAGGGTTCTTGCGGTGTTCCGTGAACCTGTAAATTGACTGCAGGTCATGTCGCCTTGCAGTTGAGGGCATGGTTATAAGTAGCACTGTAAGTGGGGTGTTCCCAACTCGGTACTTTTCATTCTACTTTAACCCTTAACCCTAAACCGTTGCTAATTCCTTTGATCCTCCAAAACAGGATTATGTGGCTCAGGTTGGGTGTAAGGCTTGGGAGGGAACAATATCTATAGCGGATTTGGGTTCAGGGTGCAGGGTTTGGGGTGTGAGGTTTAGGGTGTAAGGTTTAGGGCTTTTATAAGGTTAGCCATATGGGTTTTAGGTTTCGGGTGCAAGGTTTAGAGTACCAGCACAAGGCGCAAAACACAGACACACACACACACATAGCATTTCGCATTGTGAGTTTCCAAGGATAGTAGCCGAGCCAACCCTAAACCCTAAACCCTAAACCTAAACCCTAAACCTAAACCCTAAAACCTAAACCCTAAACCTTATGCCCTTAAGAACTTACGCCCCGGGGGGGGTGAGGCTTAAGACCTACCCCTAAAGGCCCTACAGATCCGAATCCGTAAATCCAAGTCCCCCGTCCTACACCTCAGTTCCCTTTTAGAAACCCTAAACCCTAAAACCCTAAACCCTAGACCCCTAAATCCCAACCCCTAAACCCAAAACCCCTAAACCCTAAACTCTAAACCCTAAACCCTCAAGCCCTAAATCCTAAAGAATCAGAACCCTGAAGAATCCACCATGTAATTACGTTGTTTCTTCATGTGAGGTTTAGCGGATGGCG